AGTTCACAGCTCTTTCGTGCACATGTATGCCCACACGCGCACGTGCTTACCGAGAGAGAGAGAGAGAGAGAGAGAGAGAGAGAGAGAGAGAGAGAGAGAGAGAGAGAGAGAGAGAGAGAGAGAGAGAGAGAGAGAGAGAGAGTGGCGTGTGTGTGGTCCTAGATATTTATTCTGGGCGTGGTTCTTTTACACCGTTTGCAGTGTTTCCTGCACAAATTAACCGGAGTCACCCAATACAGTAGGAAGGTTGTATTTATTTTTAGACCTTCGATTGATACTGTCCAAAATGAAAATGAAGAACGCTACCGAACGTACCATCACTCGTGCCCAACCTGGGAGGGAGCCAAGAACGCCAGCCTCGAACAATCCATCGAACTTAAGAAGAACTTGCCCATAAAACATAAAAACAGCTTCTCCGCTAAGAATCCTACATCTAAAACCTAGGTAGTCGGTGTTGGGTTACCCCACAGAGGTAAAATAAGAAATACCTCACAGGAAAAATAAGAAATGAGCCTCAGGCAAAACAACAAGTTCTTTCAGGTGGTGGCGCTTTCTGCAGCACGGATAGTGCCCGCGTTTTCAAAAACCTCTAGTTCTGGCCGAGAATATGGTTCTTATTCCTACGGTAGCGATGTGAATGACCGTAACACAGTTGTAATGAAGTGTAGGGGTTCTGAACCGGGCTCAAAAATTGTCCTCAAGCTTTCTATGTTTTGATATGACGTTGAGCATGAAGCTCTTCACTGCCAAGTTCTCAAGTTCTTTACTTCCAAGTTCTTAAGTTATTTACTGCCCAAGTTATCAAGTTCTTTACTGCCAAGTTCTTTAAGTTCTTTGCTACCAAGTTCTTTAAGTTCTTTGCTACCAAGTTCTTACGTTCTTCACCGCCCAAGTTCTTAACTTTTTACTGCAAAGTTCTCGAGTTCTTCCCCGGGCTCACAAATTATGATCAAGTTTTCATGTATTGGTGAGCATGAAGTGCTCAACCGCCAAGTTGTCAAGCCCGGCAGGCGCTATCTCTAGTAATGTCCTCACCCGTCTTCTTTCTTGGATATAACGTTGCCGCCCACTTGATCCCGGGCCTCTAGCACCACGCAGTCCACGCCCTTCTTGTCCAGGTAGAACCCCAGCGTGCTCCCGCTGTTTGGCGGCAGAGAAATATTCAAGGGAAAAAATAATCGGGTTCGGCGGTTTGATTTAACCTCTCTAAGAGTAGACACCCTTCCTGTCAAGGCAGAACCCCAGCGTGCTCCCGCTGTTTGGCGGCAGACGAAATTCAAAGGGAAAAATAATCGGGTTCGGCGGTTTGATTTAACCTCTCTAAGAGTCGACACCCTTCCTGTCAAGGCAGAACCCCAGCGTGCTCCCGCTGTTTAGCGGGAGAAGAAAACCAAAGGGAAAAAAAGAAACGGGTTCCTCGGCGATATGATGTAAATTTTCTGAACAAAGGGTGGAAAGGGGGTGTAGGTCGCGTCTATACCCTCGACCACATCGACAAGCGGTAAAACAAACACAAGAGGCCGATTGACAAACACGCGGTGCTTTCCGTGCTTCCTTAACGTCATTGGCACGGGTCTCCCGGGGCCCCATAACGAAGGCAAGCAAGACATCTTAGGTTCGTCAGTATTGGCAACGGCGTCACCCCCCTTTTACGATGGTCTTGGCGCCACCTGTCCCAGCGGCTTCGGGGGCCCGGCAGAAGGCGTGGCCAACACCCAGGTGTGAGAAAAAACGCGATCGGAAGGACTCTCACTTCTACCTCCATACTCTCACAAAGATCACGCTGGTATCTCATTCGCCAAGGGGATATATATGTTGGGTGGATAAGTTACGTGGCGACAATATCGACCGCCGTTTTTTTAGAAAACACACGCACATGTACATTCAATGACAGAAATACAACCCGTTCGAGGTAAGACCACAGCAGTCGAAGGGGATGGGTTCAAGTCTTTACAGTGAGTGTGGAGAAAAAAACAACTGGATACTGGGCATATTATAGAGTTGATTTTATGTAAGCCTATGGCTGAAAATACATGAAAACATACAATCAAAATAAGACAGCACGTTCGAGGTAAGACCACAGCAGTCGAACGGGGTGGGTTGAAGTCTTTACAGTGAACGGATTTTTGGTAATCGCTCGACTTCAACAAAATTTAAATTTCAGTGGAGTAGCGAACACCGACGTTCGGGGAAGGGACAAGGACCGTGGTATCAATTCCAAGGAAACGACCAGAGCAAAACCCACCTGATGCCAGAGCCGACCACCGCACAGTCCACCTTTTCGACAGGGCCGGCCTCTGCCGGGCGCGCCAAAATCAGCATGATCAACCGCAACGAGAGGCAATTTCCACCAGTCAGGTGCGGAGAGGCAAGAGCAGCAGGAGCAGCAACACGAATCTACGCATTATCATCACTAATAGCAACAGCAGCAGCCCAAGCAGCAGCAACAACTCCAACAACTCCAACACAAAAAACAGCAGCAGCAGCAGCAGCAGCAGCAAGAACAACCACCACCACCACCACAACAACAACAACAACAACAGTATCACCCACCCCCCTCATGCGTTCGCCGTGGGAGCGAGGAAACCAAGCCTTTCTGGTTCTTCCACTAACACGGCCTTCATCCACCAACAACAACGCACTCACTGAAAATATCAGCTGCCATGGTAGTGGCTGCTCTCGACGCCGTTCCATGGCCGCTCCCGCGAGCGGTGTTCCAAGCGGTGGAGGGCGTTACGAAACCATAAGCGGGGGTGATCCCCGCTACGGCTAGGAGGCCAGCGGCGGTGCCAACGGCGGCGAGCATGGTTCTCCCTCCCCTTGTTCCCCTTCGGTCTAACGCCCCACCCCGTCGTTTGCCTAAGCGGTTATCGCCGCTCGCCTTTCCAAGCCGGAATGTTTCCATGGAATTGGTTCCACAGGCGCACGTACCCGTGGATAGGCAGCAAAAACCCGCGAGAGTAAGGGCGGGGCGACGAGGACGCGTGCGGTGTCGACTCATAGGGGCGGTGGATAAGGGGCGCGTTTCGGAAAAGCAGCGGTCAACTCTAAGGCTTTTCGACACACAGCGCGTCAACTCTTTCTCATCTGCTCACCCTCGTGGAGGCAACAAGTGGCTTGAGGTGACCAAGACAAGAAGACTAGGAATCCAAACCCAGGCAAGAAGAAGCGCCAGGCGAGCTCTCGGGCGCGGGAGGGGGAAGCGAACATGGATTACTGCTGTATGGGTTAAATTACGTTTTCGGGCCCGTTTTATTCTAGTAGAAAATACACAACACAATCACAGAAAGATTCCCCGTTCGAGAAAACACCACAGCCGTCGCAAGGGGATGTGTTCAAGTCTTCGCAGTGAGTGTGGAGAAAAAACCAACTGTATACTGGACTTACTGCGAGTCTACTTTCACTGTTATATTGTACCATAAGAAGTACGACAATCCCTTCCCCCGGTGAATCAGGGAAAACGATCGGGGACGCGACGGGAGGGGGTGGGGAAACCCCCGTGTGAAATTCGAGCTAGGCGGGACTTACTTGTCGACGGTTGTGTGTGTGCGGTGCGTGGTAAGGCCGGTCCAGATACCACGACATGTTTACGTGTCATCCGATTACTACATAAAGAGGGAGCAGACATTAGTCCGCCGTGTTTTTCCCGCCGATCTCCGCCGTATGTCCCGCCAACAAACCGATACCACTGCTGTACGCAGACCACGAGCGCCAGCAAAAACAGAGACTACCGACAGGGAGTCGCCAGTGGACATAACACGCCAGACAGAGACCAGGACCATTCGCATGGACGCCATTTTGAAACGTTTGCATGATACTCCAACATCGAGCTCGTCCCTGCGACCATGTGTATCCGCAACACTGGTTGTCTTATCCGTGCTCCTTGAGAATTGGGGAAAAGCTTCGACACCCCGGAATTGCAAGCAGACCTATTTGCACCACCAGAATGGTGGCATACCAGCTCTTGACTACAGCAGAAGCAATGAACACCGCAGGCAGCACACGACTACTGCTGTACTGATGTACAATGAGGAGACTGGTTGGTGCAAGTTGGCGCTGGCGACTCGCTCGGCTATGACAGGGGGGAGGAACATGATCATCCATGAGTTCGAAAGCGAGCGGGTCTTTGCAACAGCAGATACGACCGTCCTGTTCCAACAGGCGCGAGCAAGGGTCGCCACGACCCTCACGCAAGATCTCCTACTGCTGTGCACCATGCATCGCTAAACGCCGAGCGCACGAGCGAGCGAGAGAGCAAGCCTTGCACCCGAATCTGGCGGCATGAACGGCCCGCTCATATACCCTTTGGCTCCTGTGCTTGCACCTGGCGTCGTCTGTGCTTACGACGACGACATCGACAAAGCCAGACTGCAAAACTTAACAAACACGCTGTGACAAGCCTCTGTCTATACTGTGCTCACCCCTTCAACGTCACGCTAGCACAGGCAGCAGGAGATATGCAAGGCCAGAGGTAGCAGGTGGTCGAGTAGTGGGTCCCCGCGGACGGGGTTGACCCCCCCTCGAAAGTACGTTCCGCATTGCCTCCCTTCATGAAAGAAGACATCCCACCACACATCAACGGCTGCTTCGCCAGGCGAGTTAAGAGAGACGGAGGAGACGTCAGGATCTTTACGGTTCGTGTGGCGTGCCATCTATCGTGAGTCGGTGGGCCGAGCTCAGGCTGTACGCCGAGCTCAAACACTATCGCTTGCGGGTGTGGTGTTGTTGTGTTTCTGTTGCGTTAGAAAACGAGGTAGGTGCCCCAGCACGCCCTACACAGCAGGCAGGAGGACGCCAGAGACGCGCTGCTGCCAGGTGGATCCTGAGGCAAGCGTGTGTCCGACACGTTTTTTCGAACTAGGCAGGTCGTCTGTCGTCGGTGGTTGTGTCGGCGTCGCTCCAAGAGATGGCATGATTCGGGTAGAGGCAGCCCTTTACCCCCCTATCTACAAACCTCTGCCTCTCCTTGGTTGTCTCACTCTTGACGTACATGTACATACATACACAACCAACGTTTCAACAAGGCAGCTTGCCCCAAACCGCTTACAAGAGCACGGGGGTTGATACAGGCCCACCTGGAGCTTTTCCCAGCCTACAGTTGTTCTTGTGCTTGGTTTGGACGCGGACCTGCTCTGCGTGTCTCTCGCGTTTCCCGCCTCGTGCCGGCATCAAATTTGAATCCGCCGACAAACAACCGCCTCTTTTTGTGTCTGTAGGTTCTCTTCTCGCCGCTGCTGTTGTCAAGCGCGGCACAGCGGCAGAGCATGCTCTCGCCGATACTCACTGGGGATATCTCTGCTACCCTGCGCAGATACCAGCGGATGGTGGATTTGGTGGTGCTAGGTCGGTCGTGTGTGTGAGCGGGGTATGGCACTCGTAGCGCTGCTTGCGTGCGGTGCACGAGAAAAAAAAAAAACTCGGGGCAAAATTTCAATACACACCAATCGGAGTGTCGCTAGGCTTGTTATTAGAAAGTCATGCCTACACATGACATTGGATGACATTTCGTTCAATAGGAGGACTACTCCAGATAGATGCTCAAAGGGCGCACGTGAACGTTTTTGCAGTGCAGATTCAGTGATGTCTGCTGGACAAAGTTGGTTCTGTTGAAAATAGTGTCTAATCTTCCAATCCTTATCCTTACGCCGACGGCGTACACATGCCGGCCGTGTACACTTACGATGTTCCTTCCGTTCATGTTCAGTTCAAACTTGAAGGCACGCATTCTTCAGCACCTCACTTCTTTAGAATTTTATGTGCGATAAAGCGCTACAGCATGCAGCAGCGGTCACGTCGTTGACTCCCCCCCTGCGGCCACTCATGCCCGATTTCCCATGTATCTCCGAGCTGTACCCGCCCCCACTCGTTCTGACCCAGTACCTAGGTCGCACGAGTAAGCACACCCCCTGGACCGGTTTTCCATGGCCATTAGGTACTCTATACAAACGGCAGTGACGGTGCCGAAAGTTGGATTCGTCATGTCGAGAGCTCTCGTATCATCTGATTCTGTAATTCTCTTTGTGATGTAATAGTCGAGCGTTGAAGTTTGGTCCAGGGGGTGTCGTGTCTTGTGCGCCTAGTGTGGTGGTAGTCGCCAAGTGCAAACACGTCGCTCATTGGCGACAGCTGCATGGTTGGAATAAACAAAGTCCATTGGTGTGAGCGTTGCAGAACTATCGGTTCCGCGCTCCCCTTTCCTGGCTGTGTTCCCCCCCCCCCGCGCGCTCGCGTACTCGACAGTTTTTTTCCCCACACTTAGCACTACCAGGTACATATTTGCTGCTGTTCTTCCTTATCCTTCCTTTTCCCGAATCCCACGTTTTTGCGACTTGGTGATAACAGCAGTAGTCCATGTTATATTTTGTGGTTCGCAAGTTGGAAACCAACGGGGCTATCACTTGCCCGGCCCCCCTCCACCAGTTTCCTTAGTTGCCAACGCTTCTTTTGACGGACAATTGAATTCTTCGTACCCCTCGCATGGTGATGTGAGAGCCTGGTCCGGTGAGAACACGGGGTGCTCCGTCCCGGCTTTGTAGGGATCCGAGGTCAATGGTCTAACGACTACGGCATGCACGACCATGAGTACACCCCCCCCCTCTCGAGTTCAGATAGCAACGGGTCTCACTTCGGCCATTGTATATTTTCCCTTGTTTTTTGTTGTTGTTGTTGTTGTTGTTGTTGTTGTTACCCCAACCAGACCTCAAGCGTTGTCTACTATGGATGACAGCAGCAGCAGCACTGGTAGTGTTGGCGGAGGCGAAGAAGATATTGACCTCAATTTGGGTTTGGATGGCGATGATGATGATGACGCCAACGATGCCACCAACTCGGACGCCAAAGAGTCTTCCCCCCCCTTGGGAGAGGTGCGTCGTCCTATTATAGGGCAACGAGCTATCCACCCCATGCCTTGTTTTGCACCCGTAGGCATCTGGTGTCGATCGCCGTCGTAGGCAAAACGAGCGACGTCTTGTTTGCACCAGTTGGTGTTCGATATCGATTGCGGTGGTACGTCAGGCTTTTGGGGCTTGTACCCAGTGTATACGTGCGTCGTCCTATTGGGGCAACGAGCTATCCATCCCATGCCTTGTTTGCGCCCGTACGCGATTGATATCTGGTGCTGTCGTAAATTTGACGCTGGAGGCATGTACCCAATATGAAATACTTTCTCGTACCCATGGGTATTTTGATGTCGATCGTTCCCTACCAGCCAGAGTATGCGTTTGTTCGCTGAGCAGGAAACAGATTCAATGAGAGTGCACTCCTTTGGTGAGGTTGCCTACCCGCCCCACAAAGCCCCCCTCCCCCCCCTCCCCCCCCCTCC